GGTGTAACTTTGGCTATGTATATTTTCACCAAAAAAAAAAGGTCCTCCAAGGTCGAGAAGGGAGAGCGTTGACAGGTCGTGGGGTTGTTAACCAATGTCATAAAACAATATCTGTACTGAATGTTTAATGAGAAACTATTTATTCTGTAAACCTTCATCTAAAGTACAATAAAAAAAATTAAAAACAAACAAACAAAAAATTCTGTTTCTTTTGATGGGTTTCCTTCCCCTTTGCATTTAAATCCTACTTTTGCATGGAAGTTAGATGTAAACCCCTCTGTGCCTGTGTAGTATGATTAAGAATGTTGCTGACGTAACTTGTATAAACTCGCTATTTGTAAACCCCTTAAGAGTAACTTTTCTCCTCGCCCTTGGGGAACAGTCTTGGCGGCGGCAGCTCTGACTCCTTTTCCTTGCACAACAAAATAAAGGTGTATTTCTTGTTCTCCCGCTTCAGTCTCTCGTTTACTGGCCTATGAGTCATGATGAGTAAGAACCTGGGGTTTCCACCTGGTAACAAGCTCATCAAAGTCTATAATATAACTAGACTGTCAGTAGTTAATTTTGATTCAGAGTTGACCAGCAGTATACTAACAATCCTTAGGTAGATTAGGCTGTTAGAGTTAGTTCCCAGCCACTCTGGCCCAGAATGATTTCACCTCCTGTAGATGACTCACCTCCATCCTTAATTCTCTCTGACACAACCACAAATGACCTTTTCTCTGTATTTAGACTGCCAATAACTAAGAGAGGTGGCTCTATTTACTTTTCTAGAATCTATGTCCAGCTACCCACATTATTCCCATGATTCCCTTGCTCCTATTCTCTTCTTCGGTCAAATCAGAAAGACAGAAAAGTAAAAGCAAGGATAAAGCTGATTTGGACTATATTTCCCCAAACACCAGTTTCCCTACTCATTAGCTTCTAAGCCTTTTCAATCTACAGGTTAATGATACGTTAAAAAAACTCAATAAAACTGGAACTTCATGCCCTGTCCTCTCTTTCCTTACACAGTTAAGGAGATCCTTTAGAATTTTTACTCTAGGTTAAAACAGAGCTTTAAAAAAATATATTTAAACAGCATAATAAACTTTCTAATAATTGGAAGTTGTTCAAAATGAAATGGCAAAAGATGGATTAAAGAATGAAATTGTTTTTTAAAATGTCATAGAAAACTAGCAGAAAGAGGAATAGAAAATTAATCAGAGCTGTAGATGAATAATAATGTTTAGATTTTAAAATATAAATATTTAAAAATCTATAAAATAAGAATTAAAGCTAAAACAATAAGAAAAACAATGGATTGTAAGGTATGAGAAGTAAAATATTAATATCTACAAAAATAATGAGCTTATTAAAATATATTTTAAAAATTAAAATCTCTAGTAAATAAATGGTCGAAGACTGAAAGATAACTCACTAGAAAGGAAATAAAAAGAGTAAGCACAAACAAAAGGAAAAGTTGGATCAAAGAAATGAAGTTAAAAGAAAAAGCCATTATATGAAAGCTGAATTATCAAAAAATTTTTAAAGAAATAATAATATCAAAATAATAGTTTATGGTGACATTGGTACATGCTGGTTGTCACCTTGAAAACAGGAATACCCATTGTGGAACTCAAGTTGGCAATATATATCTTATATATATATATAAGAGAAATAAAAGTGTTTGTAATCCTTTGATTCAGTAATCTACACCTTAAATTTTATTTGCAGGAAATAAAAGAAGGAAAGAAATAGTATGTCTGAAGATGTTGATTAAGTCAATATTTATAATAGCGAAATAATTGGAAACAACTAAAATAATAACAAAAAAAAAAAAAACTCGTTGCCGTGGGGTTGATTCTGACTCATAGTGACCCTATAGGACAGAGTAGAACTGCCCCATAGGGTTTCCAAGAGCACCTGGTGGGTTTGAACTGCCAACCTTTTTGTTAGCAGCCGTAGCTCTTAACCACTGCACCACCTGGGCTCCATAGGATATTACACAGCCTTTAAAAATGTCAGGATGCATGAGAGGCTGAATGAGATGTCATGTACAATCTCTTCCACCTCTAAATACTACGGCCTCCATATGACATCTACTCCCTGAGATGCACAATGTTAATTCCCCAATATAATGCACCTATGCTAGTCAAGCTCAGTTTCTCACTGTCCCCCCCAAAAAAACTGCTTATTCCTGCTTCCATGCTATGATCACACCCTGGCCCTTAACTTAGTGTTCTTCCTTTACTCCCTGTCTAGCCAAATCCTGTCCATTATTCCAAGGCTATTCAAAAAGACAGAACTGATACTTAGTCCTTTCTATATTCCACCACCATACTTGGAACCACAGTAGGCATTCAATACATGGCTGTTGAATGAATAAATGAATGTATAAAGAATAAATAAATATTTCCTGAGGGCCTAGTGCCAAGAACATTCTAAGAGCTTTACATGTAATTCATTTAATTCCCCCACTATCATTATTTCCTTCTGAATACTTATCACAAGCTATAATTATTTTATTTATTTATTATATAATTTCTCCCGTAGAATATAGAATATAATCTCTATCTGTCTTGTTCACATAACAGTTCTTTAAATGTTTATTGAATGTATCATTAAATGGTCAATCATTAGAAGTCTGAACTAGTAGTCCTTTGAAAGTCAAAATGATTTACTGTGAATTAACAACTGATTCACAAACTCAAAAATACCTTAGAAAATAGATTTAATGCCATTGAACATTTCTTTCTTTCATAGAAACATAATAAGATTATCATTTTGTACATATAACCAGGACATTCTGCAAAATATATCAAGGTAATATAGTATGGCATTATGAAAAGAGTGTATTCACTATTAGAAATACCCACTTAACAATTAAAATTTTTTTTTAAAAAAAGAAATTTTCATATAACAATTATCTTAAAGGAAACCAAAAATAAATGAGTTTTTAATATAATGTTATCTGGAATTTAAATATTTTTCTTGAAAATACAATTTTGATAACAGGGTGACTATAAGTCACATCCTAATAATATAATAATTTGACTATAAGTCAAATACTAATAAAATATATCAAGACAAACCAAAACCAAACCTGTTGCCATTGAGTTGATTCCCACTCATAGCGACCCTATAGGACAGAGTAGAACTGCCCTATAGAGTTTCCAAGGAATGGCTGGTGGATTCGAACTGCTGACCTTTTGGTAAGCAGCCAAAGTCTTAACCACCAGTTATTCTCCTAGACATTTGATTTAACCTGTGAATTAGGCCGATACTGACTCCTTTTAACACAGTAGCTATCCAGGCTTCCAGCTTTGGATACTTAAATTTTATTTGATCAGAGGAAAAGAAAATGCTGGAGACAAAAAAACTGTCCTCTCCTTGGTGAGAAAAAAATCGTCCCCTCCTCTCTTACAAAGGGAGCCCTGGTGGCATAGCAGTTCAAGTCCACCAGCAGCTCCCTGGAAACCCTATGTGGCAGTTCTACTCTGTCCTCTAGGGTCGCTGTGAGTCAGAATTGACTTGATGGCAACAGATTCAACGGGTCTCTTACAAAGACTACAGCACTACTAATTAATAATACCACGTTCAACAGCTCATCCACGGAATTGCCTATAATGTGGCAAGTTACCACCCCTACCAACTGTATACTGCTGGTCTATAATGAATGGGATTTTAAAGAGATATATAAAATGTATTTCTGGGCTCAACGGTAGATATATCATTGTCACACTAAGTAGCAATAGAAAGCTATTATGCTCAAATAATATTTTTATTTAAATATTACAATTTATTTAAAAGAAAAAATTACTCCTAAATGGTATAAGAAGATACATGGAAAGAGAACAGCAGTCGTCAGTATAGTGGGAAAGCACTGAATTTAGGTGTCTAGCATCTGGGTTCTGGTTCCAGTTCTGCCAGCAGCTGGCTTTGTGACCTTGAGCCAGTGACTTTACTCTGAGCTCTTTTCCCTCTATCTATATAGAACAGGACTGATGATTTCTAAAATCCCTTCCATGTCCTGAGATTCTATAACTCTTGTGTCAGAAACTGCTCATCTTCTCCCTTGCTTTTGTTTTCAGTCCCAACATAGAAGCTCACAGAAGAGAGTTTATGGCCATCGAGAGCAGCCAGGAAAGCTTCAAAGAGCTATGCATAATGAGACTCAGAAAGGCAAAGGGGAAGAAGCAGAAGAAAAAAGGCAGGAGAGCGAAAGGGGGCTGGGGACTCCACAAGGCAAAACTATTTCCCACTCCCTCCCTGTGGGAGTCCTTAGTGCTGCCTGCAAAACAGTGCCCCCTTGTGGTTGGGAGGGGCCATGTGACCAGTTTTGACATGTGAGAAGAGATTTAAGTCCCTTCCATGCTGAGCATTAGTGCCCTCATGAGATCCTCCAGGGCTTTCCGTTTTCTCTTCTAGCAGAACAAACCACAATTTTCTAAATGAGGGCTGCTTCTCAGGCAACCCTGAGCCACTATCATAGGAGAGCCTCCCTGATAAGTACAAGAACATGCAACTCATGCAGAAAATAAATTGTTGTTTTAAGCCACCAAGATGTGGGGGTTGTTCGCTGCTATGGTCTAACCTAGTTCGTCTACACTCCCAAAGGTGAAACCTGAAGCTGATGAGAAAAAATGCCTCCACCTTCTTTTCAACCTGAAGCCTTCTAAGTTAACACTAACATAGAAAAAAGACTATGCAGAACTACTCAGAGTCCTGTTTATTTGCAAGACTATAGACATCTGTACCTTGGCCAGGGTCTTCTTCAGCCCCTTGTCCTTTTAAAGTTATAAAACTGGGATTGTCCTAAGGCACAAAAGCTTTGAGAAAGGGAAGAAGTAATGCCACATCCAAATTGGGGAAAACATTTTCCTCCGTATTTGCCCACTGGTACAGAGAACCAGGGACAGGATTTAATACTTAGTGATGAGATTTAAAAGATGCAGAGGTATAAGACAAATACACTGCAGAAAAAGAGCTGTACACAGAGATGACATTCTTAGACTTACAGTTTGTGCTTCCCTTAAGTTAACTCTTTGCTTCGGTCTAAAGAGAGATTTGCTTTTTCTTCTAGATTCAAATACTCCTCTTTTGAAGATCATCACTGCCATCTGTCTCAGAAAGAAGAATTATATATGAAGAAACAATGGGATGTACTTCCCAACTACTAGTATTAAGTACTTAATCAATTGTGGAGTGCTGTAAATTTCTTTTATTTCATGAAATTTTTATACCTTTATCGTGGCCTCTCTATAATGTCTTCTAGATTCTTCCTGTGGTTGTGAAGAACTCATTAATTCCAGTTGTCTTAACTCATCAATTTTAGCTAAAGCACGTCGAGCAAATCCCTAAATGGGATTAAAATAAATTTAACTCATAATAAGAATATAGTGATTAAAAATGTATCAAGACAGTATATGTTTTATTCTCCCAGACATTTTATTTAATCGAGGAATTAAACTCTAGGCTGATATTGACTCTTTATAACACAGTAGCTATTTAGTCTATCATTTCCTATGAGCACCATTACACTCTGTATATCTAAAGTTAATTAACTGTCAGATATGCTAAATTTATAAACTACGAAATTCAAAAAAGCAAGGAAATCAGAATTCTGGGTTAAACAGTACCTTAATATAGATTATCGTTTCTCTGGCACTGCACACACATGCACATACAAATAACCCTCCACAGTGCTCCTCTCAAATCCTAACCTCCCTACTATAACAGGCTGTATTATGACTATTCAGTTGTTCACATTGCTCGCTAAACTGTAAAGTCCTGAAAGGGCCTTATTCATTTCTTTATCTCTGCCCATTAAACCAGACCCCTGGTGGTGCAGTGGTTAAGAGCTGGGCTGCTAACCAAAAGGTCAGCAGTTCAAATCCACCAGCTGCTCCTTGGAAACCCTATGGGGCAGTTCTACTCTGTCGTATAGGGTTGCTATGAGTCGGAATTGACTCAACGGCAACAGGTTCGGTTGGGTACCCACTAAACCAAACCTACTGCCATCGAGTTGATTCCGACTCATAGCAACCCTATAGGACAGAGTAGAACTGCCCCATAGGGTTTCCAAGGCCGTAAATCTTATGGAAGCAGACTGTCACATCTTTCTCCCACAGAGTGGCTGTTGGATTTGAACTACTGACCATTCAGTTAGCCGTCAAGTGCTTAAACACTGTGCCACCAAGACTCCTTCTCTGTATCTCTACTACCCAGCACATAGGGGATATTGAATACATATCTGAGGAAAGAAGGGAAGGAAGGAGGCAGTATTGCATATCATAATTCTCTAGCAATAATAATTAAAAGAGTTGAATTCATGTCATATATTTTAGCAGTTCTTCGGAATTTTTCATTTGTAATTTATAATTTTTTATGAAGATCTTCTAGACTACAATATTAACATATACACAGAGTTAAATTTTTCAATAAGGATAATTCCAACATAAATCATATGATCAAAACTATGCAAATGTTCCATTCTCTGATAATTTTAATAACTATAGGACTAAGTATGCCATCACTAGTACACTAAAATTAACTATATGTATGTATGTACATATGTATATATATATGAGCATATGTAAATATATGTAGAGAGAAGACTCTAGAATGTATCTTGAGCTAGAAAAGTATCTCACAAGGATTTAATTAGGCTATTCCCCTGCCTATGTGCCACTGCTATCCAACCTTTCAAAATTAATTTGAACAAGAAAAACTAAATGTAAAGGAACCATTAACAGGCCGGATGATTTATTAATTGTCACCAAAAGGATACAAACAAGTATTTGCACAGTTGTGAAGGTTTTGTCCTTCCCACCAAGGGGATGAGTGAGGGCTAAAATCCAGCCTGCATTCCATTCACCAAACCATGCATCCCTGGTATAAGGTTGTGTTGGTCCAAAGGACCAAAAACCAGAATCCACTGCCATTGAGTTGATTCCAACTCATAGTGACCCCATAGGTCAGAGAAGAACTGCCCCATTGGGTTTCCAAGGCTTTCTCCCATGGAGTGGCTGGTGGGTTCAAACCCCCAACCTTTTAGTTAGCAGCCAAGAGCTTTAACCACTGTATCAAAAGGGCTCCTCCTGGTCAAAGGAAAGGGTACTTATTTCTAATTCTCCCCAAAGCCCCATTCACTGACCAAGCCAAGTACTACTAGGCTGTGTTCCTGCAGAGAGAGCACCCTTTTAAATTTATACAGAGGTACTGTATCAACCAACAGAAATCCCAACTAATAAGCTATTTTTCAAGTATTCAGTCTAAAAGATAACAGAAAAAGAAGAAAAATAAGAAATAGAGTATATTAAATCATGGCTGGAAGCAGAGAAAAGCACGATAAATGGATGGTAGGTGGTATGGAATACAAAGCTACACAGGGAAGAAAGGGGGTTTGCATATAAGAATAAAACGAGGAAGGAAAGATAAGAGGAAGCTCATTCAGGAAAGAAAAGGAGCAAGGAAGGTGCAAGTTAATAGAGAATAAAGGAGAAAGCAGAATATGGAGCAAAGATCAACAGAATGAAGACGCCAAGAAAATATCTGCAAATAAAGCCTTGAACTTTTGTCTTTGCTTCATTTCAATTCTTTTTTTTTTTCTTTTCCTTGTCGGGCATCTAAAGGAAAATATGCTCACCAGGCTGTATTTTAAAATAGTGGAATCCTCAAAATGAAAATGTGACATACCTCTCCATGAATACCAACTTGGCAGTCATAGTAGCACTGGCAAACAGCAGTGTAGAGAGTGGCTCTCCACGTCAAGTATCTGACAGACAGGAGTGGTACCGAGGACTCCATACATATACTGGCCCACAGGAGATATTCTAAGGCCTGAGAAGGAAAGGAAACTATTGAATTTATTTTCATTTTAAGCTAATAATAATAATAATTTCATTTAATATAATCAAATTATAATTTGTCAGCACAAGTTTGTTGTTGTTGTTAGGTGCCATCAAGTTGGTTCCTACTCATAAAGAACCTATGTACAATAGAATGAAACACTGCCTGGTCCTGCGCCATCCTCACAATCATTGTTATGCTTGAGCCCACTGTTACAGGCACTGTGTCAAACCATCTCATTGAGGGTCTTCCTCTTTTTTGCTGACCTGCTACTTTACCAAGCATGAGGTCCTTCTCCAGGGACTGGTCCCTCCTGATAACATGTTCAAAGCATGTGAGACAAAGTCTTGCCATCCGCACTTCTAAGAAGCATTCTGCTGTACTTCTTCAAAGACAGATTTGTTCGTTCTTTTGGCAGTCCATGGTATATTCAATATTCTTCGCAAACACAATAATTCAAAGGCATCAATTCTTCTTAGGTGTTCCTTATTCATTGTCCAGTTTTCACATGCATATGAGACAATTGAAAACACCACTAGGTCAGGCGCACCTTGGTCCTTAAAGTGACATCCTTGCTTTTTAATACTTTAAAGAGGTCTTCTGCAAAGGCAGATTTACCCAATGAAATGCGTCATTTGATTTCTTGACCGCTGCTTCCATGGGCATTGATTGTGGATCCAAGTAAAATGAAATCTCTGACAACTTCAATCTTGTCTCCGTTTATCATGATGTTGCTTATCGGTCCATTTATAAAGATTTTTGTTTTCTTTATGTTGAGGTGTAATCCATACTGAAGGCTGTGGTCTCTGATCTTCATCAGTAAGTGCTTCAAGTCCTCTTCACTTTCAGCAAGCAAGGTTGAGTCATCTGCATAACACAGGTTGTTAATGAGTCTTCCTCCAATCCCAATGCCCTGTTCTTCTTCCTACAGTACAGCTTCTCAGATTATTTGCTCAGCATACAGATTGAATAAGCATGGTGAAAGGATACAACGCCAATGCACACCTTTCCCAGCTTTAAAACTTGCTGTACCCACTTGTTTTGTTTAAGCAAATGCCTCTTGGTCTATGCACAGGTTCCTCATGAGCACATTTAAGTGTTATGGAATTCCCATTTTTTGCAATGCTATCCATAATTTGTTATGATCCACACAGTCGAATGCCTTTGCATAGTTAATAAAGCACAGCTTAACCTCTTTCTGGTACTCTCTGCTTTAAGCCAGGATCTATCTGATATCGGTAATGACATCCCTCTTCCATGTCCTCCTCTGAATCTGGCTTGAATTTCTGGCAGTTCCCTATCCACGTACCACTACAATGACTTCTGAATGATCTTCAGCAAAATTTTACTTGTATGTGATACCAATAATATTGTTCGATAACTTCCACATTCTGTTGGATCACCTTTCCTTGGAATGGGCACAAATATGGATCTCTTCCAGCCAGTTGGTCAAGTAGCTGTCTTCCAAATTTCTTGGCAGAAACAAGTGAGTACTTCCAGTGATGCATCCATTTGTTGAAATGTCTCAATTGGTATTATGTCAATTCCTGGAGCCTTGGTTTTTGCCAATGCCTTGAGAGTAGCTTGGAAGATGAGCACAAATTTCTGACTACTTAAACAAAAAATACTATAAAGAAACAATGAATCAAGGCAGAGCCAACATGGCACTAGAGACAGAAGCACCATGCCATCCCTCCACAGCAAAGACCCGAAAAACTAAGTAAAACAGAGACAAATGTCAATCCTGGAACCCTAAGCATCAAATGAAGAGATAAAGAACTCAGCCAAGCACCAAATAGAATAAGAAACTGACAGAGGAGAGTGAGAAGAGATATGTGCAGAGGTTCCCTATCAGCTAACGCAGCATGGATTCGCCACCTTAGACTCCTGTCACAGATTGGCAGACAGGAAGTATAGGAAAGCAGCTTCACAGAGCTCCCAGTAGGAGACAGAACATCCAGAACCAGCATTATATGCTTTACCACCGCCCATCCTTCTCCCCCCTGCTCTATCTCTGCCGATTCCTAGCTGGCTGCAATAGCTCGGCCAGCTGGGAAGTGCAGGGTCCGTGCTGCTTGGATTCACCCTGCCCACGCTGGAGTTCAGCAGACAGGGAGTACAGAAAAGCAGCTTCATGGAGCTCCCAGCAGGAGACCGAGCACCCAGTAACCAGTGATATACACTTTCCAACCCCCCATCCTTCTTGCCCCTGCTCAACCTCCGCCGCTTCATAGCTGGCTGTGGTCACTCAGCTGGCTGGGAAGTGCAGGGTCCATGCCGCTTGGATTTGCCCTGCCCACACTGGAGATCAGTGGACAGGGAGTACAGGAAAACAGCTTCACAGAGCTCCCAGCAGGAGACAGAACAACTGGTAACCAGCGATACATGCTTTCCCATCCTCCTACCTCTGCTTCCCGCTAGCCAGTCTCTTGGCTGGGAGGCACCAGCTTCAGCTGCTTGGATTTGCCCCACCCACACTGGCCAGCTCCCGGAGTGTCATTTGTTTGTTGATGGTCTTGCTTTTTTCCGCTTCTTTTGGTTTCTTCAGCACTTCTCACTACCTCCCCCTCCTTTCTCTCAAATACCTGGCTCCATGTGCCATCGTTGCTTCTTCTTGAAAGTCTGTGAAGTGCTGCTCAACTGGGCAACTGCTTCTCTGGCTCATGCCGCCACACTGGTGGGATCCCCAGGGCTTTTGTTTGTTTGTTTGATTTTTGTGGTTTTGCTCTGTTCCATTTTGTTTGTTTGCTTTTTCTTTTAGAGGCTTGGCAGCCCCTGCTAGCTGGGCTGTACTGCGTAGCTTGGGAGCCACTTCCCTAGTCTGCGCAGTCACACTGGTGGGATGCCAGGGGACATTTCTCTTTTTTTTTTTTTTTTCTCTTTTTTCCTTTTTGTCTTTCTTCACTTCTCAGTTTCTCATGTCTCTGTACTTAACTTCTTTTCCTGTCTCCTGAATAACTGGCACTGTGTAACATCTCTACCCCTTCTAGCCAGGCTGTAATTCACAGCCTGGGAGCCACTTCCTTGGTCTTCACAGCCACATCGGTGGGATCCCTGGAGGCTTGGCTCTTCTTTTTTTTTTTATATTTATTATTTTTTTCTTTTTACTTTTTCTTCTTTTTTTCCTCTTTATTTTTCTCCATTTTTCGGTTTATCATCTCTCCATTCCAATGGCAAGCTCCCTTAGCACTCTTTTTTTTTTTTCTGGCTACTGTTTCTCTCTCCTCTTTCCCATAACCATCTTAGCTCCACACATCACAATCTCCCTCCTACTTCCTGCCTACCTGCACCATGCACTGAACATCACACCCCCAAGCAGCACAGGCAAGACCTTACGGGACCTGCCCTGCACTGATTCCCAGCCCACCCTGTCTGCCCTAGTACATGCCACAAACAATCCATCCCAGCCCCTCCCCTTCAGCTGGACCTGCCCTCTGCACAACAGCTGAGCGACTGGCCCTGCCCATTGAACAAGGAGGTGAAAAGTATCATGCTCACAGACGAGCAAACAACAAAGAATGCACAGCCCACCTGCTCAGACATAACCAAATGAAACAAAAAAGCAAGACAAAACAAACAAATCTACAATCAATAAATGAAGAAAATGACTACTGAATGTCCTGAAGACAGCAGACAATATAAAAACATATACAAAAACAGGATAGGATGGTTCCAATAGGCATCCAAAATAAAACACCAGGTGACTTTCCAGTAGAAGAAAAGTCACTAGAACTACCTGATAGGGAATTCAAATCTCTAATACTCAGAATTATCCAAGAGTTGAAGCAAAAAGCAGACAAAAATGAGGAAAAAATAGACAAATTCATGAAAAGACAGACAAATTCAAGGAAAATACAGACCAAAAAATGGAAGAATTCAGGAAAATCATACAGGAACAAAATGCCAAAATAAATTCACAACTAGAAATCATACAAAAACAACAATTAGAAATCCAAAAGATAAACAACAAGATTTCAGAAATGGACAGTGTCACAGAAGGGCTGAGGAGCAGGTTTGAAACGATGGAAGACAGGATCAGTGAAATTGAAGACAAACACTTGGCTACGACTCTCTTTGAGGAAAAATTAGAACAAAGAAAATGAAGGAACCCTAAGAATTATGTGGGATACAATCAAAAGCAAAAAACTGCAAGTGATTGGAGTTCCAGAACAGGGGGAGAAAACGGAAAAACACAGAGAGGATCACTGAAGAATTGCTGACAGAAAACTTCCCTAATATCATGAAAGATGAAAAGCTTACCATCCAAGAAAAAAACCCATACAGGACAGACCCCAAAAGAAAATCACCGAGGCATATCATAACCACACTCGCTAAAACCAAAGACAAAGAATCCTGAGAGCAGCTCGAGAAAAATGAAAAGTCAAATACAGAAGGGCAACAAAAAGATTAAGCTCTGATTATCTGGCAGAAACCATGCAGGCAAGAAGGCATGGGATGACATATATGAAACCCTGAAAGAAAAAAATGGCCAACCAAGAATAATATATCCTGCAAAACTCTTGTTCAAATATGATGGTGAAATGAGGACATTTCTAGATAGACATAAATTCAGGGAACACGTAAAAACTAAACCAAACTTACGACCATTATTAAAGAGAGTCTTTCGGTCTGAGAACAAACAACATCAGTCCACAGCCTGAATCTAGGATGCAAGATTGTACCAGCCAGACACCAACCTAGGCAATGAACTCTCAAGGCCTATTCAAAACCAAAAGAATTACAACAGGTAACCAGAGAGGTTAATCTGCAAATGACAACAATGTCAGAACAATAAAAGAGGGAATAAATGGTAGGTACAGAATTTTCTAATGGAGAGGAAGGCAAGGTGATACCAACTAATAATAGACTGCTTCAAACCTAGGAAGGTAAGGGTAAATTTCAAGGTAACCACAAAGAAAGCTAACAAACCTACTGATCAAAATAAAGAAGAAATGTAAAGAAGAAACACAAAGTCTCAGTAAAAACAAAGT